CCAGATTTTAAGAATCTGAGCATTTGGTAGATAAGACGACCTTTTTTATAGGGAAAAAGATTTGTGGGAAGATTTGGATGAGATCAAGGAGTGGCCAATAGCCTGGGGTGGTCTGGAGGTAATAGACAATGAAGGGCTGGGCTGGGTCAGAAGTAACAGAGAATTGAAGGTTAGGGCTGGATCAGAGGTAATAGAGAATTGAAGGTTAGGGCTGGATCAGAACCCCAATGAAAGGACAGTTGAAAGGATTATTCTAGAATGAGCTGATACGGAAAGCAAAGGCCAGGAACTGGGTCATATGGGAAAGTTCTAGGGCTGGGTTCCTGAAATTCAGAGGAAAGTCCAAAGAGGGGGTGTCCAGAGCCCAGACCCCATCACCTGGCACACAGTAGACACTTAATACATGTTTATTGATCGATTCCTTACTCTGCGACCAAACTGGGCTCCTATTTCAAAGCATACACTGGGCTTCTCCCTCTCCCCATCCCTAGTCCCTGAATGCCTTTCTTCCCTCCCTTCCTAACCCTTAGAGCCCACCTCAGATACTCCCTTCTCTATGAAGCCCCCCCTTACTTTCCCCTTGCACGTCACCATCTTCCCTCCTCAGACCTCACATTAAATGCTTTGTTTTATGCTTCTCTAACGTGTTCATATACTAGCAGGTATTAATAGTTACCTAGGTTTTGTTCCCTCTCCTCAACTATAAGCTCTCTGATGGTAGGGACCATGTCTTATCTAAACTTTGTATCTACCCCAGTGCCTAGCACAGTCTTCTGTATTCAGAAGGTAGACATGGTGTGTGTGTGTGTGTGTGTGTGTGTGTGTGTGTTTGCACATGCTTGTGTGCATGTGAGCACACACCACACAGGACAAGAGGAGGGACCTGGCTGCATGGTCTTTGTCAGGGTCAGAGCTGGATTTGCCATGGGAAAGCTGGTGTGGGAAAACTTTGAGTGAGATTTCTCTGCCTCGAGGAGTAAAATGACAGGGCAGGCCCTGGGACTAGCCAAGAGAGAAGACACAGGCTCTCCATTCATTCTGTAAGCTGTTTCTACCTTCCTAGCTATGCCAGAAGGAAGGATGGAGTGGATTTGATGCCTATAGCACATATAGGGGTCTGGCAAACCTTAAAGGCTGCCCATGTCCGCTTCAGCCCTCTCCCAGGTCCCATGCAATGGGTGGCCTCTAGCCAGCTTGGTGGCTTTCCCTGGGGCCAAGGATGGTGGAGGGGCTACTGTGGGAGAGGCTGGGTCACTCGCCACCCCCTGTCCTACCCACCCACGCCCCCCCCCCCCCAAGTTGACTCTGTGGAATGTAGCATTTAGCCCAGAAGCTGGTTTGTGTGAAGCCAGGGCTTGCCTCTTTCCCACGAGCTTGATTGTAGCTTATTCTGGGACAGAAATTGAGTACGTAGGGAGAGCCTGCACTGGGGAGCTTTTCTCTGGCTCATCAGCCTTCTCTGAGCTACTAGGGAGCTTGTGAGAAAAAGTTAAGACTCGTGGCACTAAGTAGCATCAGGCAGTTCTCCTCATATCCTCCCCGGCCATCGGAAGGTGCCAAGGAAGATCTTCCCTGAGAGTTACAAGGCATTTTTCTACCCATGGACACGTCCCCTGTGGCTTTCTGGTGGGGAGGCAGCTTCCCGGTGCTCCCAGGGTCCCAGGGGGGAATGGGGGCTTCTATTAACTTGTCGGGGAGAAGAAATGTCAATTTCCTTCTTAGATCAGTTGATGACCTGCTCCCAGGACTGAGGAGGTCTGGAGAGGTGCTTGGGAAAAGACAGCTGGGTTCCCTGGGGTTTGGGACCTCAGGGACTCAGAGTTATCAGTCTTTTTGTGGAGCCTGAGATGACAGAGCTCAGGGCAAAGGCTACTGCCTGGGAACAGTAAGTTCTGGACCCTAAAGGCCAGCCAGCACCCAGGATCAAGGGCTTGAAAGGAGCTGAAGCCCATGAAAGAACACAAGCCAGAGAAGAGAGCCTGGGGATGGGGGTGGGGATTGATGAGTTGGGCAGGGAGGGTCTCAGGGCTGTCCCCAAATTGTTGCACTGTTAACTCTGATCTTGTTTTACTTTCAGGGAAATCTGTTTGACTTCCTACATCTGACAGGGTGGCGGGGTTCCCGAGTGCTATATTTTGGAGACCACCTCTATAGTGACCTTGCAGTGAGTAAATCCCTTCCTCCTTTATCCCCTCACGTTCCCCCCCAACCTGAAGCTGTCCCTGTGCTTAGCACGTACAATGGAATCAAATGGCTACTGGGCAAGCAGGCATCAACTATTTCGGTAGCTCCTGTCCTGCAGATAATGTGGGAAAGGACCTGGGGGATAAGGGAGCAGAAAGGACGGGAGCCCAAGGCCTGGCCTGGCCTCCTGCCTGTAGCCACCCCAGTTTTTGCCTCCCTCTCTCCCTTCCTTCTGCCATCACCACCCAGGACCTCACGTTGCGCCATGGTTGGAGGACAGGCGCCATCATTCCTGAACTGGAGCGAGAGATCAACATCATCAATACAGAGCAGTACATGCACTCACTGACATGGCAGCAGGCCCTCACTGGGCTCCTGGAGAGGATGCAGGTGTCAGCATGGGCATGAGGGTGGGGGCCTGTAGGGTCAAAAGCCTAACTCCAAATTCACCGCTCTTCCCAATACCCTCTGCCACTTTCTGAGAACCCCAGCCCAGCAGGATGTTGTCTTCTCTGAGGGCTGTGCTTAAGCAGATTCATTGGATTTCCTAGCCTGCCCTGAACTCATATTTATCCTTCTCTACCTCACCTCGCCCATGCCCACTAGACTGTAAGCCACAGAGGACATGTATTCTGTTATTTGCTCGTCCCCTTGCACAGGGTAGGCAGGTGCTGAGCAAATACTTGTTGATGTACTAAAACACCAAGCCTTGATCCAGTGTGGACAACAGACCTGATGAGACTACTGTCTCATCCTCCAGGACAAGGTCTCTTTTGTGCCTTGTTTTATGCCCCAGACCAGGCACCTCGTACTAATTCCTACAAACCTTCTTTCCTAGACCTACAGAGATGCGGAGTCAAGGCAGGTGCTAGCGGCTTGGATGAAAGAACGCCAAGAGATCAGGTGAGGGATTGGGTTGTGAGCAGGTCACCCAGCTCAGCCTTCTCTTCCTCCCTCCCCTGGTCATTAGGCAGCGAGGGAGCCCCTCCCCCTAGTGATATTCCAAAGGAAGCAGGGCTGAGAAGAATGGCAGCTTGAAGGATGATGCCATTTGATGGCTGGAAAGAACTAATCAGTACAAGCTTCTTGGAGGAGATGGCTTTGAGCCAATCACAATCTGACCCGTTAGATTTCTTCTGGTCTGGGGGTTTTAACTTTTATGTGTCATAGACCCGTTTCACAGGCTCGGTGGGGAACCTGTGGCCTCAAGGCTACATGTGGCCTTCTAGGTCCTCAAGTGCAGCCCTTTGATTGGATTCAGTCACAAGGCCACACCTGAGGACCTAGAGGGCCACACGTGGCTTTGAGGCTGAAGGTTCCCCACCCCTAGGCTAGATGATGCCTGTGGACCCTTTCTCAGAATAATGCATTTAAATGTGTGAAATACATAGTATTAAAAAAAAAGGAAATCAATTCTATTGAAATAATTATTCATGTGCAGCTAGGTGGTGCAGTGGATAGAGCACCGGCCCTGAAGTCAGGAGGACCTGAGTTCAAATGCGGCCTCAGACCAGACACTTGACACTTACTAGCTGTGTGACCCTGGGCAAGTCACTTAATCCCAATTGCCTAAAGAAAGAAAGAAATCATTCAAATATTTTTTAAAAAGTTCACAGACTCTCAGTTAAAAATCCCTGATGCTAAACCAACTTCTCTCATTATACTTATGGAGAAACTGAGGCTCAAAGAGAAGACTTCAAGTCAAAAAAATCCAGTCAGTGGCTGAGCCAGTTGCATGTTAAGAACCCTAGCTAGGGGCAGCTAGGTGGTGCAGTGGATAGAGCACCGGTTCTGGAAGCAGGAGGAACTGAGTTCAAGTCCAGCCTCAGACCAAACACTTGACACTTACTAGCTGTGTGACCCTGGGCAAGTCACTTAGCCCCAATTGCCTAGGGGGTGGGTGGGAAGGAACCCTTGAGCTAGTCAGGACTGTTTTCGTTTTGCAGACAGACTGAGGCCCAGGCAAGCAGACAAGCTCAGAGAGTCAGGGGCTTGCCCAGGCCATGCAGCAAAGTCGAGATGAGGGAGGGGTCCTGGGCCTGGGAGGTGGGCAGTGTGCTGCACGTGGAGGAGGCAGGAGGGAGGGTCCTGGGCCGGGGAGGTGGGTCCTGCACGTGGAGGAGGCCGGAGAGAGCGCGCTTGTGACCACGCTGCCGCCCGCCCTGGGGCACTCTCCCAGGTCTATCACCAAGAACCTCTTCAACCCGCGGTTCGGAAGCATCTTCCGCACCTTCCACAACCCCACGTACTTCTCGCGGAGGCTCGTGCGCTTCTCGGACCTGTACATGGCCTCCCTGAGCTGCCTGCTCAACTACAGCGTCAACTTCACCTTCTACCCCCGCCGCACGCCGCTACAGCACGAGGCCCCGCTCTGGATGGACCAGCTGTGCACGGGCTGCATGAAGACGCCCTTCCTGGAGGAGATGGTGCACATTCGGTGAGGCTCCCCCGGCGGTGGCAGCCCTTCCAGAGGGTGAAGCTTGCAGAGAAATGTCCCACCCCGCCCCATGCCGCCGCACCCCACACGCCCCAGGTCCATTGGATGGGAGGTCCCGCGGCAGAAACCAGCCTCTTCACCACTGGGAGCCAGGCTCGCGGGGTGAGCTCTTAGGGTGCAGAGCATCACCAAGCCATCGCCCTACCTGTAGGCATTCTGTGTATTTCCTGGCTAGGCCTAGGGGCCACTTCAGCCCTGGCTAGGGGAAAGTGACCCACTCAGAGGGGCATACCAGAGAATTGGGCACACCTGGTAGGTTTACGAGATCACTCTCCCCTGGGGTGAAATCCGCCTGGGAAGAACAGGACAGAAAGCAGGCTATACCACAAGAACTTTATTTTTTGAGTGACGTGAGTTTTCAAAGGCACCCCCCCCAATCTGAGGTACAACAGCCGCTGTGAGCTGAATCGTGCAATTGGCCCCTCCACTGTGGGGCAGAGAGAGGTTGGGGTCCCTCAGACCCAGGTCAATGCCCCTCTCTGTCCGAAGGGAGAGTGGGGACGGGGAGGGGGTATAGCACACCGATCCTTTTGCAGGATGGGACCAGAGTTGCACTCTGGCTGGTTCCCAAATACAAGAGAGGAAAGAACCACCACTCATGCCTAAAGGTCCAGGGGGAAATGAGCTGGCACCAGCCTTTGGAGGCCACTGCTTCCGTCCATCTACTAGAGGTGTTGCAGGAGCTGCTCAAGGCCTGGGGGTGGGACAGAGGGGATGGGGGGCATCCAGCAGGGGGAGCATCCTTTCTGTGTAGCCAGGAGTCCTCACAGAAGCACATGTTGCTGGTTGGGAGCTCCAGGACAGCTGCTTAGTGCTTACTCTTCCTGGCTGACCTAGATCCAGGACCTCTAGCCAAGGATGGACCTGAGAGTCGGGAGCCCCTCATCCTCCCACCCCAGGCCTCCTCAGCCAGGGCAGTTTCCAGCAAAAAAAAAAAATCCCCTGAGGAAAGTTTGAGTCAGAGCTGGACCTTAACATCTAAGGAGGTGGTGGAGTGTGAGAGACAGAGATATAGGGAGCAAAATCTGGGTGCCTGGGCCAACTGTAGTCCCAGTAGGCTATATGTCTCCTGCAGGCTTGCTCCTGGCCCTGGCCTCTGCAGGAAGAGGCTGTGCAAATAAGGGTGATGCACCCCCCTTCTGTTGGGCTCACTGAGGCCCATGTAAACATCTATTGGGGATAGAGTAGTGGTGGGTGGGCAGAGCTGGGTATGGTGAAGAGCCTGATCTAGGGCCCCAACACTCCTCCCAGGCCCTGATTACTCCTCTTCAAGGATTCTGTGGGTGTCCGTGAACTCCTTCTCAAGTAATGAGTCCTAGGAAGAAAATTGGAGCAGGTCAGGTTTTCTAAGGGGCTCCTTGGCCATGAGGCTAGTGGCCCCAAATGCAGGGTGCCATCTCTCACTCTCTAAGCCGAGAATGAGGTCAAGGGGGACACAGGCAGACAGTCTGTGAGAAGGGAGGCTTGGCAGTTCACATTCTCTCTGGACGGCTACAGGCAGCAGCAATACTACCCTCCTTCCTGCCCTCCCTGCCTTCCTCTGGCCAGCTGCTGCTGCTGCTTACATCAAAGGGCTCATAGAAGGTGTCATGGCCATCAAAAGTGGGGTTGGGTACAGAGATCAGGGGTGGACTAGGTCCTTCTTGCCAGGGTGAGAAGTCATCTTCATCATCTTCAGCCTAGAAGTAAAGGCAGGTTGGGAGCTGGTGGCAAAGCAGAGTGGGGGTGGGGAGGGAGGAGCAGACAAAGGGTGTGGGAATACCCTCCAGGAAAACGGACAGAAGCTGAAAGCAGGACAGGGTGAGGAGGCTGAAAAGGGGAGCAGGGTTGAGGGCCTTCCTCCCTTGACACTTCTCCCCCAACCCATTCCCTTCTCATCTACCTTGAAATAGTGGAACTGGAATCCTGGGCCCTTGATTTTGTAGTGGAAATACAGGGCCACCAATCCCAAAACCAGCCCTACCCCCAATGCAGTAGACATGCCAACTGCTACAGAAGTGGAGGTCCTTGCCAACGCAGCCGCCTGTGGAGAAATTAGAGCAGCCCATTGGTGTGGCGCTGCTGTCCAAGCCCACCAGCCCAGGCTCCTGCCTTGCACATCCTCTCCAGGGCGCTGGATCCAGGAAGAGGAATCATAGAATTTTAGACCTAGAAGGGACCTCAGCAGACATCTAGTTCAGCCAGTGGTCATCTTCTCAAAAACTTCCCAGCAAAAGCACCATCTCCCAAGGCAGCCCAACCCCACTAACTGTTGGGGAGTTTTTCCTTAAATTAAGCCTAAATTTTCCTCCAACCGCTGTTTCTGACTCTTCCAGTTGGGACAGATGAGAATATGTCTAATCTCTCTTCCATCAGACAGCCCTTAAAATACTGGAAGACAGCTATCCTGCCTCCCCTCCCCTCAAGCTAACCCCAGTTCCATCAACCGATTCCTTATATGCTTGGACTCAAGGCCATCACTAGGCTGGCTACTCTCAGACTCCTTTATCAGAGTCCTTCCCGTAACACCACTGGCCCCAATACTCCAGATTGCTAACTAGCCCCACCCCAGACCTTTGCTGAACCAGAGGGGCACTCACCGGCTCCGGCGGCACAGTGAGGGGGCTCTCGATGGCATGAATAATGCCATTGAAGGCAATGATGTCCCACTCCACAATAGCACTGACTCTCACCACATCAGGACCCTCCTGAATGGGAAAAAGGGAGACTCCTAGCATTACTTACCGGCCCAATTTAGCTGTGGCCAGATCTGACACTGGACTGGGAGCCACTCCCTTGGCCACAAGTGAATAGTTAACCCAACAGTAGCAAGGCCGGTCCACTAGGAGAAATCATTTGCCAAGTGGTCCCAGACCTAAATTGTGCCCCTAAGTTAGAAGAAATGGCTCTTCCATGACTAGGGGACAGGAGGTTGGCATATGTCTGCTGTGTAGGCTGCTGTAAGCCTTCAGGGTGGCTTTGTTCTGGTGTGGTTCATGGACTGCACTGGGCAGGAGAGTTGGGAGGAAGTGGGCAGAGCCTTGCTAAGTAGAGGGCTCGATGCTGCCCAATCCCTGGAAGTTGGTAAAAGAAACAGAAATAAATGGGCATAGATGGGAGGTGGGTCAATGTGCTGCCTCTGGGAAGAGGCTCCTGAAGCAATATGAGAGGGTCCTGTACAGAGGCCAGGCCAGATACCAGCAAGATGGGAGAGGAGCCATTCATCCATAGGCTGTGGCCAGCTGCGGGATAGCTTAGGGTAGGGGTGTCTAACCTTTTTTGGTCCCCATACCCCTTGGCTTTCTAGTAAACCTTTCCCTGGACCCTATTGAACATGAAAGGAAATAGATTCTAGAGTATGGCATGTAAATCATATAAGAAAATAAACAGATTAATTTCAAAAGGATAAAATAGTTGTTTACCAAATATTCTCTGTCCCTCTCAATCAGCTTCTCTTCCCCCCAAGGTGGGGGGGGGTACACAAACCATAGACTGGGAACCCTGGACTTGGGGTGAGAGTCCAAATGTCTGTAAGGCAGTGACTCTGTTTCCTCTGTTTGTTTTAACCTTATTTCTTTAAGTGAGAATAAAATCCTTTTTAAAATGCAGTTTCAGTCTAAAGATGTGTTAAGAAAGAGATTCTAAACCCACTCCCCTAGAGGTCCATGGACAGATTTCAGCCCCAGGTGGGAAGGGCTTGACTAGTCATGTCCTGCTCTTCAGGGCCCGGATTCCTACCTGGAGGCCACTCGGAGTCATCTGAGTCTACTGCAGACAAGGAAGTAAGGGCTAGGCCTTACAGGTGGAGGCAGAGGGGACAGAGGGCAAGAGAGGGTATAGGAAGGCCAGCTGGTTGTCCTAGGGGCCTTACCTGGAACACGGTACTGTTCCCAGCAGAGGAGTTGCTGATGAAAAGTTGGTGGCCTGAGTGGGCAGGAAGGATGGTGCTCTGGCTGAGGTTCAGGCTCAGAAAGGTGACGTTAGAAGCATGGAGCTCCAAGTCCTCCCAGCTCAGGGTCTGGGGGCAAAACCATCATCACCCTTCTTCCCAGTGGCATGCTTTATGGCTATATCTCCCTGCCCCACTCACGTCATCTATGACCGTTACATCCAACCTTCTACCTCAGAAATGTCAGAATATCTAGGGCACTGATCCCCATGGAGGGGACAGTATCCTGGTGCTGGGGAGAAGAAAGGCAGCCCTTACTCACCACATTGTCCTCAAACCCAGAGTTGACGGGGACAAAGAGTGTCTTGAAGGTCAGCTCATCAGATAGGAAGCCAAGGAACTCTAGACCATGCTGTGTGGTGTTGGCATAATCTAGCAGTAACTAGGGGAAGGGGAGCAGGGAGGAAAGGATAAGGGGATGAGGCCTGATAGGACAGACCACCTATATCTCTGCCTCCCATCCTTGGCTAAGGTAGCCCATCTTGACCTCAGAGACCTCTAGGGAGGAAAGCAACACCCTCCGTCAGTCATCTCAACCCAGAACCTGCAAGCCTCCATCCCCAACCCCACTTGATTCAACATCTTCCCATCCCACAAACCCCATAGAAGGTGGAGAAGTTGGCATTGGCAGCTAGGACGTCCAGCAGCTTTCCGTTACAGACTGTGTCCCCGTCACCCACAAAGCCATCCCGGCATTGGCACGACACGTCTGGATGGCGAATGGGAAAGATAAACACTGAAAAAAATCCTGCAAGAGACACCTGCCACTCACCCACGCCCGGAGTCAGGCTGGAAGAAAGTCCATGCCCCCTCACCATGCACACGGTAGCAGTAGGCATCCCAGTGCTCCGTGAAATTGCTCTGGGCTTTGTAGATGACGATGCCCACGTGATTGCTGTCACAGCTGGTGCTAGGGTAGACACTGGGGTACGCAGCTGTGCCATTTGATAACCAGCCCATCAAGCACAGGTGGAAACCAAGCTGGAGAATTTGGTAAGTGAGGAAGGGAAGAAGCTGTCGTGGGCCAAAACCAGATACTCCCCAGCCTCCTTCAGACCACAGCCCTGCTCAGATCCATGGACAACTCACCTCCTTGAAGGATTATTCTGACCCCCAAAGCCCACCCCCAAGATTTTTCTACCAGGTTGAGCACAGCTCAACCACTGTCCCCCTGTATATACCCTAGGCCTTGCCCCCTGTCCCCTTCACCTGCTGAGCTGCTGAAAGCTGGTCCAAGGAAGCTAAGACAGCACCCTGGGCCTTGCACTGCTCCTCTGCCTCTCTGAAGGTCAGTTTGTACTTTCCCTCCTGAGACTGTAGGTGGAACACTCCAGCCCGTTTCTCTATAGACAGAGGGCCATGGGTCAGACCACTGGGCCAGGAAGGGGGAGACGAGTAAGATCCAAGGATATGAGGGGGAGGAGAAGAAGCTGGGACCTTGAAAGTGCAGGTCAGTGCAGATAGCCTCTGGGTGGCAGGGCCCAGGAGTCTCCAGGCATCGATCCTCGGGGGGCACGGCTTCCACCAGGCACTGCAGTCCATTCCCCACGTAGCCAGCTCGGCACTCACAGCGGCGGGTGTTCTACAGGGACACCAATGGCCTTAATATCCCATCAGTCCCCAGACCTCCCCAAGACATCTCGTACTGCCTCTCTGCTTCCAAAAGGCCAGAGAGACAGAGAGACCAGCAAAAGGCAGAACCCCGGGCCAACCCGGCCAAGGGAGGCAGCAAAAGAGGGATGAGAATCGTTTAGGGAGGCAAGGCACAAGCTGTTTCTGAAGACTGGAACCTATCATCAGGCCTTGTCTCCCTTTCCTCTCAACAGCTCAGGGGAAGGACCGGAGCTGGGACAGGAGGCTGGATTTAGGACCAGGCCTACAGAAGGGCAGCAGGGCTGGAGCTAAGGTTGGGGCGGGGGGAGCTGCTGGAGCCAGGAACAGAATCAGAACCTAGATCACTCACCGGGCCGGTGCTAATGCATTCAGCATGCTCGCTACAGCCTCCATTCTGGCCATCTGCACAGCGGTCCCGGGCCCGACAGAACACTCCATCGCCTTCATAGTCAGGGTGGCAAGTACAGGTCACAACTACACCCTGTTGGCTGCAGGTGGCATGCTGGTTACAGCCTCCGTGTCCATTCTGGCAGTGGTCAATTACTGGAAAAGGCAGGGGGACCATCTCAGGGTAAATAAACATAGCACCATTCCAGTCACCACTAGCCTGGGATGCTTCTCTGCTCAGGGAGCCCTGGGACCACTTCCTCCGGGAAGTCCTCCCTGACTACTCCAGCCCATATTGAAAACCTGTAGCACTTTTAGCCTGAAAAAAAAATTGAGCCCTTAGTTATAGAGGGTGTCCCAAAAGTTTTAGTTCAGTTTTAAGAGCTAATCTGGTCCTTGGGTATGAAACTTCCCTCAGTAATAATGTGAGTTCCCCAAGGGTAGGGCGCAGACCAACGCTTCCTCTGTCTTGCCCAAACTGTGAACTCCCTATGGGAAGGACTTTGGTTTATTTCCTCCTCCTTGTCTAGGGAGACTGGGAGCTCCCTAATGGCAAGGCCTGATGTAAACCAGGGGTGGGTTCACATGACCCTTCCCCTACTCCCAGGGCCACACCTGGGGAAGGGTCCCACCTACCTGTGCATTTATGGCCATCCCCCTCATAGTTCAGGTTGCATTCACAGACGTTGTCCTTTCGGCATACAGCATGGAGATCACAGGGTGGGGAGCACACGGGCTGAACATCTGCCTCCCCCCAATTAGAGGTAGCATCAGTCACCTGGGTCTCAGTTTCCCAGAACCCTCCCTGCTTCCACTATCCAGACGGTTTCAGTCACCATCCCTGTACCTTCACCGTGGCCTCTGCCCCCAAGACTCCAGATCTGGACCCTCCTAGAAGAAAATGTCTAATGCAGAAGCTTTGGGAATGGAATGATTGCTAGACTGAATCCTCTCTGGCTCTGGGGAATCACTGGGCCAGCCCAATCACCTTCAGGCACTGTTACTTTGGACTGGGGAGAATCTTGTTCTCTCCAGGGCAGCTCTGTCTTGATAGTCGTAAAACTCTTTTCCCTTGTGAATAAACCCCAGGTAACAAGAGCCTGGAGGTGTTGGGGTGGGGGGGGGGCATCAGCAGAGGGAAAGAAAAGAAAGAAAGGATAGAGGGAATGGTACCTGGTACCAAGACATTGAGATAAAGTGGCAGTGGCAGTGACGGAAGGGTTAGGCCAGCTCAGAAGCCTTGAAGGTTACTGAGGTGAGAAAAGGAGTCCAAAGCCAGGCCAGAGATGGGTGAAGATTTAGCACAGAGGAAGCCAAACTGGACAGACCTTGCCTGACACGATCCTTTGTGCTTCTCATTTATCCCCATTAAGATAATGCTTGTTCTTGGTTTTAGATACTACTTATCATTTTAAGAAAGGCTTCATTTATTCCTATGCTTTCCAGTGTTTTTAATAGGAATGGGTATTGTGTTTCGCCAAAAGCTTTTTCTGTATCAATTGATATAATCAGGTGATTTTTGTTGTTTTTGTTATTGATATGGTCAGTTATGTTGCTGGTTTTCCAATATTGAACCAGCCCTGCATTCCTGGTATAAATCTCACCTGATCATAGTTCATGATCCTTATGATATATTATTGTAATCTCTTTATTAGTACTTTATTTAAAATTTTTTGCATTAATATTGGAAATTGGTCTAAGTTTTTTTTTCTCTGTTTTTGCTCTCCCTGGTTTAGGTATCAAAATCCCATTTGTATCATAGAAGGAATTTAGTAGAATTCCTTTACCTATTTTTTCCCCAAACCATTTATATAGTATTGGAATTTGTTGTTCTTTAAATGTTTGGTAGAATTTGCTTGTAAATCCATCTGGTCCTGGGGATTCTTTTCTTAAGGAGTTCATTTATGGCTTGTTCAATTTCTTTTTCTAAGATGGGGTTAATATGTATTCTATTTCCTCTTCCATTAATTTAGGCAATATATTTTCATAAATCATCCATTTCGTTTAGATTGCCAGTTTTATTGGCATATAATTAGGCAAAGTAGCTCCTAATATTATTGCTTTAATTTCATCTTCATTGGTGGTGCATACACCATTTTCATTTTTGATCCTGGTAATTTGGTTTTCTTCTTAATCAAATGAACCAATGGTTTATCAATTTTATTGCTTTATTTTCATGAAAGCGGTTCCTATGCTGTCTTAATTTTTTTTTTACTTTCAATTTTATTAATCTCTCCTTAGATTTCCAGGATTTCTATTTTGGTGTTTAATTGGGGATTTTTAATTTGCCTTTGTATGTCTCCCATGTAAACATGCTAAGGGTCTGAAAGCATGCACACATGTATAATTAAGAACTTGTGCATGAGTGCAAGTGTTCTCAGAGACATGTAGGCATGTACCAGTGAATATGTTTATAAGGTAGGAAGGAAATCAGCATTTGCCTGCCATGTGCCAGGCACTGTGCTAAGCATCTTACAGATGTTATCTCGTCTAAGCCTCGCAGCAACCCTGGGGGATAGGTACTATTACTATAACCATTCTACAGTTGAGGCAACTGAGGCAAATGGAGGTTAAGTGATTTCCCCAAGATCACGTAGCTCATATCTGAGGCTGGATTTGGCCTCAGGCCTTCCTGACTCCAGGCCCAGGACTCTATCCACATACCTACCTCCATAAGGAACAGGAACACATGGACACACATGCACAGGGATACTCACCCAGCTTTACCTCACAGCGCTGTCCAGTCCAACCCTCATTGCAGAAGCAAAAACCAGAACCTGAGATGCCGTCATCACACTGGCCATGGGCTGTGCATTGACAAGCTAGGGGAACAGAGGGAGGGAGAGTCAGGGACTTGGGAAATTGTCAGAAAACCGTATGTATTGTATCATTTAAATCTAACTTTATGTGAGTAGAGATTGGTTTGAACCCAGAATGTCGCCCTGACCTCAGTAACTCTCCAGGCCTGCCAGAGATGGCCACAAGGAATTCTGGGTTGCCCTAGGGCCTGGATCTATCCAAAACATTCATGCTTTGGGTCCACTCACCCAGGACTTGTTTTGGGTTCCTCTTGTGTTTTGGCTTTGCCCAAATTTTATTGAATGCTTATATTTACTGGTACCCATCTCAATCCACTTTGCTGTCAAGCTGCCCTCTCTGGCAGTTCTTATGGAGGCACCCTTGTCTAAATCCTACATAACATAGGATTTGCTCCAGAGCCTGACAAAAGGGAGTCACCCCTTCTTTCCAACTCACTCTTCTCTACCAAACGACTTAATAAATTTCTTTCTAAGACTATTTCAGATTTTGGAGTTTGTTCTCGCAAACCACAGACTCTTCAGGGGAACTGAGTGAAAGGAGGATACGCGCTGGGGAGAGGGCTCACCTTGACAGCGAGGGCCAAATGCCCCTGCAGCACAGACCTCACAGGCCGTCCCACTGAAGCCCTTGTTGCACCTACAGGCCCCTGTCCCTGTCATTCCGTCGCTGCACACACCATTGCCATTACATGGGTTTTCTGGCCCCCCTGGGCACACTGCAAGCAAAGAGATGTCAGCCCTAGAACCCCAGGGCCCCTGCAGTCCCTCCCAGATTGCCCAAGAGGTTGGGGGTCCTGAGTTGTCAATACCACAGTTGACGTTCTGACACAAGGGAAGATGAGGTTGAACAGTGACTCTGGAATGAGTGGGTGGTATTGTAAGGTGGTATGTGGTGGAAAGGGGCCTGGCCTTGGAGTTAGAGAACCTGGGTTCACCGTGGCTCCCAGTCTGCCTCTTATCAGCTGTTCAATGCCAAGCAAATTATTCCACCTCACTGGATTTCCCTGTCTGCCAAGTGGGGGTCATATTGGTTGTGCTCTCTGCCCCATAGCTCTTGTCATGAAGCCAGATTCTCCCCCAGCCTCCCTCTGAGCTCCAGCCTCGCTCCCCCCACCCAGTACTGGCATCTCACACTCAACGTGCCCCGAGTCAAACCCGCTGTTTCTCCTCTAAACCTGCCCCACTCCTTCCAACGTCCTGATTTCAGAGTCTGGTATCAGCGTCCTCCTAGCTACCTAACCCCCACGTCGCCTTTGACTCCTCCATCCCCCTCATTCCGACCTCTGACCAGTTTGCCGAGGTGTCTCCCTCCCCAGCCTCTCTCCAATGACAGACTTAGATCTGGAGGGGGCCTCAGAGGTCATGCAGTTCAATCTGTATTTTACAGATTAGGAAACTGAGTCACAGAGGCCAGTATTTGAAACCAGGGCCTCTGACTCTAAATCCTGGAATCTTTCCACTAAGCCCAACTGTTCCCCAATACCCTTTAGCTCCATTCACACGGACATCACTCTCCTCAGGGAAATATGGTGTCACTGTCGAGGCTAAATGGCCCAAAGAAAAGCGAGGAACTTGGTTTACAACTTGGTGGACTCAGCCTAGAGATCATAGGATCTGGTCTCTGACATTTACTTGCTGTATGACCCTGGGCAAGTCACTTCACTGCTGTTTGCCTCAGTTTCCTCATCTGTAAAATGGGGATAATGATAGCACTTGCCTCCCAAAGTTGTTGTGAGGATAAAATGAGATGATATTTGTAAAGTACTTTCCACAGTGCCTGGCACGTAGTACGTGCTATGTAAATGTTAGCTATGATGATGATAATAACCATGATGGAACTTGGAGAGCATTTTACAGATGTGAAAATGGAGTCTGGGGAGAGGAGACATACATAGCTAGTAAGCAGAAGAACCAGGATTTTAATCCAGATCCCTTAACTGCAAAGCCAGGGATCTTTTCATGCTCACCACCAGCTTAGGGTAGGAACATTCTTCCAAAAAATGGAGCAGGACAGAAACTTAGTGGACGTGGGGAGACTTTAGGACCAGTGGACCCCACATTCAGAGAATAGAAGGAGGAAGACGCTTCTGGATGTGACACAGGATCCAGTCCCCCCAGATTTTGGCTAACCCTAACCCTGAAGCATCCTGAATCATCTGGCCTTTACCCTCAGCCTTGGATAGGGCCAAGAAACACACCTAGGCCAGCCTGGAACCCAGACTTCACAGGCCTGGGACAAGAACATGGTGGAGGGGCAGAGGCTGAAAGAGGCAGTGACTGAGAAGAGCCTGGGGGAGCCCAGGGCATTTCTTTCTCCCTGGCACCTTTTCTGGGAGGCCTCCACTGGCCCTGACTCCCAGTGTCTCCCCTCTCTGAGATGCTTTCTCCCCTCCATGTCCAACTGAGTTTCTCAGTTGTCCCTGGACATTTATCACACAGAGAGCTCTGCCTCTCCCCCCAACACATACACACACACACACACACACACACACACACACACACACTGTCAAGCTAGACACTGATTTAGGGTTTGGGAGCTCTGCCTCTTTTCCCAACTCTCTCTCTGTCTCTGTCTCTGTCTCTGTCTCTGTCTCTGTCTCTGTCTCTGTCTCTCTCTCTCTCTCACTCTCTCTCTCAGGGTTTGGGAACAAGTCCAGGGAGGGTCTGAGCTTGAAGAGCTGAGGATGTCAGGGCAGAGGAAAATCAAGAAGGGTGGGATGGTGGACGTCTCCAACCTTGGCAGTTGACGCCATAGTGTCCCCGGCAACAAGCTGGTTTCCAAGTGACTGTAAAGCAACGTCGGCGGCAGCCGGGTTTCTGCGACTTTCGGGAGAATAAAAACGGATCGTAGGGGGTGTATCTCAGAAAGAAAGGTCTCCTCACAGGGCTCTCCCTCAAGCAGAAGTCGACCTCACCCTAGGAACCAGCAAGGAAAGAGTCACACCAAGACAGCCGGAGGGGGAATGTGGTGGAGGCACTGGGTCTGATCTCAAGAGTCACCAATCCACCATTCCACACATTCCGTCCTAGACATTGACCAGCCCCTTCCCCCCACCACGTCCACCTCTTTCTTCACCTCATCCTTGTATCCTACAGGGCAAGAAGGCAGCACGACGCATGAGCCACAGTACTGTCTGAACGTCTGAAGAAAAGAGATGGGCAATCCTCTCAGTGACCCCTTCCTGGCTTCCTGTTCCCCACCTCCACCCAATACACCAACCTGCTCCCAACCCCTCAAGTACCCTTGTGTATTTGTGGGATTATTGGAATTTAGAGGAACCTTAGAGATCATCTAGCCCGACTCCCTCATTTAACAAAGAGGGAAACTGAGGCTCAGAAATGTTACATTACGCAGATAATAAGTAGTAGAACCAGGATCTGGATGCAGGCCTTTGGAATACAAATTTAGAGCTCTTTCCACTACACTCTCCCCTCAGAAGGAACCTGTGGGGGGATATAGCTGAAATCCCCATAACTCAAAGACCTCAGCTCAGTCTCCTATGTGCACCTTTGGTGCCCTTCCTCTTCCCTTCTTTTCCTCCTGCTGATCTGAGTGACCCTGGGGTATCTCGATAACCTCACCACCCTCAGCCCGCCCAAGACCTCCTTCCCCTCCCTCCACCACTGTTCATGTCTGGACATTTCTTCTCTGTCTCCTTCCTGGTTCTAACCTCAGGGGAAGAGGACTGTACAAGAAGCTATTTACAAGAGAAAATAATATACCTACAGGCCCCAGAAAGATGATGCTCAGAGGTAACCAGCTTCTTCCTCTAATCTCCAGCTCCATCCTCAGGGGCCTGGCCTGGCCTGGCCTGTCCCCACCACTCATTTCTGACCCTGATAGGAGCCACCTTTGTTTCTTCTCTGTGCCGTCCAAGTCTTAAAGAACACCTCCTTTCTGACTCAAACCCATCCCATCTTACTGTTCTCATACACACTTACATTGGGGATAACATTGGATTTATAACCAGGGAATTTGGATTCAAATCCTAGCCTGCCTACTTATTACCTACATGACTTTAGGCAAGTCCCTTCTTGGGCCACATCTGTAAGATGACCAGTTAACCTCAAAGATCCCTCCTAGCTCTAAATGTGGGATGCCTCCATACACCAACAGGGATCCCTCCAACAGGTCCTCTCCCAGATCACTATAAATATCACGCCTTCTGATCCCTGCCTCCAACCCCCTGATCAGCTCCTGGCTCTTCTGACCGACAACTGCTCCTTGACATAGTGGTCACAGCGGGAACCCAGCCCTGCCGGCTCCAGGAGTTGGTCGATGCCATAGGCAATGCCCCCCAGGAACTCCATGTGGCGCTGCACAATCCGAGCTTCCCCCTCGCCAACCAAGAGGTCACCCTGCACAGGGGAAGGATGAGATGGAAACGTGCCCACTTTGCCCAACTGATGTTTTCTCCCCTCCATATCCAAATCCTACCCATCTTCCAAGGTCCTTTGAAAAACTCTTATGCTCCCAACTCCCTAAATGTTCCTAAGAGTTTGGCGGGGGGCTTTTTGAATGATGGACTATGTTTCCATGTGCTATTCAAAAGACCATAATAATTCCTCTAAAGAAATTGTATTAGAGATATCTGCAGCAAGATGATAGGTTCATTCCGTCCCCACCAGGAAGCTTTCTTTGTCCTCGCCCAGCCTTCAGGGATCCCTCTCCTCCAAACTTCCCATGCACCTACTCCAGCACACCCCAACTTGGCACGCCACCTTATCCAGTCCTCTCTAATTCCCACCTCCCCCAGACTGTAAGCTCCCTGAGGACAGGTTTGGTCTTTCCCTTTGGTTTCCCTTTGTTTTTTATATTTGGTTCAATCTCTCCTTGCCTCATTGTTCTAAAAGGAGACAGGCAGGTTTAAGGGATACTGCTGGAGAGAGGGCACCCTGTGGTTTCTGGGGCATCCTGGCTAGGTTCTATCCCCATACCATTCTAGCTTCTTGACATACCGGCAGGGCCTTGCTACAGGAGAAGGAGATGGGAGAGCCATGCATTGTTCGGAGCTCGCCTAGGTTGGGTATGTCAGAGGCCAGAGCCTAAGGGAAAACAGAGGGGAAAAGCCACAAGGGTTGAAGGTTAGAAATCTGAAAGGAGATGACCCTAGGCATTCCAGCCCTTGGCACAGACAGATTCCTAAGGACGCCATTTCAAAGACTGACAAATCCTATGGGATCTCCAAAAGTAAGGTTTTGCTAAGGCTTAAGGAAGAAAGGAGGTAGCCAGCCCTGCCCATTCTCACCTTGACATTGCGAATCACATGGCCCCTCAAGATGGCCGCCAACTTCTCCCGATGGTCCTCATGGTAGAGCCAGGCCTGACGCTCAGGGGAGAGGGCTCTCAAGGCTTCATCCGTGGGCCACAGAACAGTGAAGGGCTGGTGGGTCTTATCATGCAACATTGGGAGCATCTTGGCTGTCTGAAAAAGGCCCTAACCCTAGTCACAATGGGAGGGAGAAGGCTATGGCCCTAGGCCCAGACACCCACTAAACCCAACCGCCAAGAACAGATATGAGGAGAAAGTTCTGAGCAAAGGGGAAATGACCCAAGGAGGCCCAGGACCCTCCCTTGCTCTGGAGCATGATGATCAGGGAGGTGGGTTGGGCAGCATCAGCTGGGAGTAGGGAGAAGATGGGAAGCATGGCATCTTTGGGGCTCAGGCTCAAACCCCTCAACCCCCATAAGCACATCTGGCTCAGACAACCGTACACACACACACACACACGTGCGTGCACGTGTCCTGTTAGACTGTACGCTCCTTCAGGGCAGGGACTCTCTCATGCCTTGCTTTGTATCTCGAGAGTTTAGCACAGTGCCCAGCATACAGTAGATGCTTAATCAATGCTTGATTGACTGAGACACAGAGAGACCTACATGTGCACATACACCCAGGTACTTATGTCCATGGACATTCCTAGACATGAACACTGATACACAATGGCTTATCTGAACACACATGCAAACACCTAGTTCAGAACAGACAGACAGACGTGAGCTCATGCAGACAGTTACCGTCAGAAGTTTGCTAAAGATTGTGTAGCCCCATCTCTCAGCTGCTTCTGTGATATTTTGCTGGAAATGAATGAAGCCCCCAAAGCCGTGAAAAAAGAAACCATAAAAACAAGTAAAACAACAACCGTTCGCATTTCTATAGATCTCTGCAAGTTACAAAACACTTTTCCCACAACGGACACTGTGGGGAGGCATGCTGGAGGCTACAAGTATTAATATCCCTATTGCTGTTGTCTGTCCTTTGCTTTCGAGGAGGACCATGACATCAGGGAGATATTGCCATGACATGCAAGTGAATTGGATTTAAGTGAGGGAGGACTGCACAAAGTCACCAGCCTCACTTTTTCCTCTGGAGCCATCTGGCAAGATGGCCAAGTGGCAAGATATAGATCAGGATGACTGGAGATGGCCCCAGATGCAATTGCCCATTTAAAGCTAAGGTCTTTCCCAGGTCTTAGTTTGACTGAGGTTGGCAACACTTTTTTTTTTTTTCAAAGGAGGAAAGAGGCCAAGATGGGAAGAAACTCGTTGGTTCATGAATAGAAGACAGAGGAGCTGAAGCCAGGTGTTCTGCCTCTAAGTCTGGGCTTTCCCCAGGACCCCCCCCACTGCCTCTAGCTCCCTTGTCTGCTCTCTCCAGGTATCCTGCCATACCTTGGGAGGCAGTGATGAGGTATTGGTCCAGTGCACAACCTCTGGGGGCAGCAGCAGTTTGTCGATGAAATGGAGAACACCGTTCACCCCGAGCTGGTCTTCAGCCACCACTTGGGCATACTCATTGATATAGATGCGCCCCTGCAAGGGGCAAGAGAGACATGGTGCTAGTGGTTTTGGAATTGCCCCCCACTCCCAAACCTGCCCCATGGCACTCTAGAAACCATGTTTACCCTCAGAGAAGGAGGCTTGATTTCATGTAAAAGATATAAGGTGTCAAAGCCAGAAAGAATATTAAATATCATCTGGGCCAGAAGGCATTTTTTTTTATGACATGGACCCCTTGGATAATCTGGTGAAGACTATGGACCCCTTCCCAGAATCATGTTTTTAAGTGCATAAAATAGAATATATAAGATTACAAAGAAAACCAATTATATTTTTAAAAACACAATTTCGTAGGCCCCAAGTGAACCTTTGATTCTAGAATAACCCCTTTATTCTACTGATGGAGAAGCTGAGGTCCCCAAAGAAGATTCGTTTAAGGTCACACACCCAGCCGAGGGCCGAGCCAGGCCTAGAATCCAATGTTCCTGAATTCCAGCCTAAGGTTACATCACTTCAAAGACAATCTTTCTCTCTATCACCCAGAGACTTCCCTCTCCTCCCGGGCTCTCCTCCCTCAGGCCCCCTTACCTCATGCTGGCTGAAATGGAGTTTGTGGCCAGACAGGGTGGTCACATATCCTGCCTCCAGCAGATCCTGGGTCAGCAGGCGCCTACATCCCACTGTGTGGTATCGGAACAGAAGCTGCCGATGAATACTGAATGTAGCGAGCTCTCTCTGGGGGTGGAGAAAGAAGATTAGGTCCAGCCCATCCATCCTTGAGACAGATGTCCAGCCATTTCCTCCCCCCAGATGTTTTCATTTATTCCCAAAGTTTTGCCCAGGCTTCTGCCTCACCCTCCCCAGCTCAGCTTAGCCCTGCCCAGGGGGTCTCCTCTTAGAGTTACCCGGGTAAAGTTCTTCATCAAATCTTCTTTAGGGACAAAGACTGTGAAGGGCCCATCTCCCTTCAATTCCTGATATTCCTGTGAGGGAGAGATGTAAGACTGTGGGGGCCATGAGTTCTGTACCATTGGACCAGGTTGGGATCCAGAACCCAGAGGGAACAGAGAGACCGTTGGAGCGCAATCACCACGTGAATGCATGCACGATGCACTCTTATTTTACAAATGAGGAACCGGCAGTCCAGAGAGAGGAAGGGTAGAGTCAGTGGAAGAGAGGAACTAGAACCCAAGTCTCCTCACTCCCAGCCCAGGGATCTTCCTACTCTTGCTTAAGGACTCAGTCAACACCTTGGCCTGAATTCTAGGAAAGGGTGGAACTTGGGGAGGCCATGGTCTGAGGAAAAGACAGGGCCCTGTCCTCAGGAAGCCTCCAGTGGAGAGAGGAACAGAGGGAGGAAAGAACTTTTGCCTTCAAGAAGCCCCAAGTCTGAGGGGAAGAGATGGTCCTAACTATGGGAGGGGTTTTGGAACCTGCTGAGCCCTGAGTCCCTGGCAGGGAGAGAAGATGGGCTAGGCCCATCCATCCTTGGTGGCCTTATCAAGGGGGAGAAGCTCTATCCACTGCTTACCATAAAGTAGTGGCTGAAAAAGGCTGCGTCCTTGTCCCGAAGGAGCTCCTGGTGAGGCAGGGAGGGCATGAGGGGAAGGGAGCACACAGATGAACTTGGCTCATACTGTAGGGGTCTTTCACTTCCATACCCCAAACACCCAAGGGCTTAGGTCTCTGCCCGTCTGTCCTAAGCTCAGGACTGACAGTTTGTGAGGAAAGATGTGGGACTCAAGCTGGTAAAATGTGGGGTGGCAGAGGCATAGGATCAAAGATTTAGAGCAGGAAGTCAGTCCAATGCTCTCATTTTACAAATGAGGAAACTGAGGACCCAAGAAACGAGGTGACTTTCCAGCTTGTGAAGGGTCTGAGGCAGAATTTGAACCTAGGTCCTCCTGATTTCAAGTCCCTATATCTACTGCACCTTGCCATCTCCCCTGAGTGTAATGTGAGGGATGGGGAAAAGCAGTACTGGTGTAGGGAGTGGGCTCTTCAGGAAAAGAAACTGTCCCTAGAGTGGAACAGGGGGTTTGGTCCAAGGCAAGGGATCCCAGAGCTGAGCGTGGAGCAGAGATCCCTAGCCTTGGTCCAGGATAGAGATCACCCAGGCTGTCTCAGGGGCTCAGGGACCCTGCCAGAAGGGGCCTCACCAGGCTTATCCTGGTCCGGCAGGTGAAGCCATCACCGATAGTTGTGACACCACAAGTGCAGGTCCTCTGTCCAGGCCCTGTGTTGTTGCATGAAGCATAGGGACTGCAGCCTCCATTGTCCTGGAGGAGAACAGAGCGAAATGGCCAGGGAAGGCAGATGGGTCAATGGCGACACCTTCCAAAGCCATCTTCCCTCTAACCTGGGGAAGCTGGAACCAACGTGTGGAGTCCAGTAAGGGGACACTGCCCCCATCTCCCTCCAAACCCCTGGCTTGCCCCAAGCAGTGTCAGGGCTACTGGATACCAGAGTCCTGGAAAAGGGACACCCTCATCCCCCAGATGCATATGAGGAGTAGGGCATCTGGGCCCTATTGCTAACTCCATCCCTCTCCCCACCTCAATCTCCCTTTCCATAGAATGGAAAAGTCCCAGAACAAAGCTGGAACATTACAAGGACACACCTTTGTGCAGAGGTTGATGGGGACACAGCTCTGGATTCCATCCCCGGTGTAACCAGGTCCACAGTTACAGGCCACCTAAATCCCCCCCCCCACCCCCGCAACATAGGGTTAGCTATCAATCCATTTGAGTCCAGGGTCCCTGTCTGAGGGAAACACACTGACCCTGCCCTCAGGGAACCCCTACTCTGAGAGGAAATACCTTCCCTCCACCCAGGGAGAGTCTGATCTAAGAAAAGTTGATTTTTTTTTGCTGGCCCCAATCCCAAGATCCAGAGGGAAGATGGAGATCTAGAGGCAGAGTCTGGGTGATCCCAACTCCCCACCCTGATGGGTATCTCCCCACCAGACTTCAGGTCACTGACCTGGCTGGGCCCTGTAGGGACACACTCAGCTTTGGCATGGCAGCCACCATTTTTAATTGGGCATCTGTTGAATTCTAAGAGGAGGAAAGCAAAGGTAGTGAATCAAAGGGTGAAAAGGGAAAGGGGAAAGGGAAGGCAGGGGAGGAGAAAGAGTGCCAGAATTCACACCATCTCTCATGGGGAGCTGTCCAGCCTCTAAGGGTCTAGGGACCAGTCTTCATTTGTCTCTGCTTTTCTGTCTCCCTCAGGCTTTGTGTCTCTCTTTCTCTCTCTCACTTGTTCTCCCGAGGAAAGGAGATGGCCCAATCTCTTTGGATGCCCCTTCTCCACTTTCGGTGCCTCCCACCCCTCCCACGAGGAAGTCCCTTCCTGTGTCTACCCTCAATCCCTTTCTGCTTTAGTCTTAGCCTATTTCTTGCTCGGGCTTCTCACCCAGACACAGCTCCCCATCCCCAGCATAGCCCTCCCTGCACATCTACAGAAGTGGACCCTTGTGCCCAGGATCATGGTGGCTGCTCCCTTTATGCTAATTGTACCAAGGTGGCCCCTGGACAGAGGACGTGCACGTGCAAGGAGGGCTATGCTGGGGATGGGTTGGGACTAGGGGCTGGGCCAGGCTGGGGTTGAGATTTCTTTTAGGACAGGAGCTGTGGGACAGCCTGGGTCAGATCTGAGACAGTTGGGGAGGGCGATGGCAGGGAACTCTCTTTCATGGGCTGAAGAGTCTCGAGGGTTTGGGGGAATGCTGTTTGGGGGTATCCTGAGGACCTGAGCAGCTGGTGCCATTGCCGGAGTATCCAGCAGAACAGACACAGGAGGCATTGATGCAGCTGGAAGGAAAGAGGTGTGGCCTCAATCAGTCCTGTGCCCCCAGCTCAGGGTCAAGGGGAGACCTCCAGGATGGGACCCAGGGCTACCTCACCCAGCCCTCCTGACCACCCCGAAGCCTCCCTCATCAGAGATCACTCACTTGGCAAAGGGGTCACATTTTTCTGGACACGATGAAGCAGTGCTGTCTGGCGGGAGATGAGGGCAACGTTATATGTCAGCTCAACATCGGGGTTGGGGAAGGAGCCCAAGATGGAGCCACAACCCTAGTCCTCTGGGACCCCACATTCCCAAGCCCATCCCTGCCCCTGCCCCTCACCTTGGTCACAGTGGGGGCCTTTCCAGCCCACATTGCAGCGACAGCTCCCATTCCCAAGCAGCCCATCCTGGCACATTCCATGGCCACAGTTACAAACTGGGGGAGGAAGAAAAGGGAGTAATTTGGTGGTTACCAATATCCCCACCCAAATGAAGGCTATCATTCCTCGTGCCTTGTCCTTTTAGGGTCAGGGTAGAAATCCCCTCTCAACTCCTCCATTCTCACCTCCCCCTCCCTAACCTACCAAGAACTTTCCCCTCAATCACCTGAGGAATATCACATAGCCCTACTTCACCATTCAAACTCTTTGGAATTAGACTGTGAGCCCTGTGAGCCTGCCCCACCCTCCTGAACAGGTAAGAACACTGAAGGATGTGACTTACACACCACACACCACACACACACACACACACACACACACACACACACACACACACACAC